TACAGTAAACCCCTTCAGAAGTCAATTATTAATCTTAAATGAGACAGCACAGACAGAGGATTTCAAATTGTGAAATTTACTAGGTAAAAGCTGAGTGGAACCCATGTGCATGAGTTTCAGAGTGTGGACTGTGAGGCTTTGAGGGAATTCCTTGAGCTGGGAATTCCAAAACATATCTACGACTGCCTCTAAGACTTGAGACATAGAGGTGGGAGGGGCACTTGGAGTTAGTGCAAAGCAGACTCAGCCAGTTGGTGGCACCAGAATTCAGCATTAGAGTACCTAATGAAATTTTATCAAGGAATTACAACCTATGGATTCCAGCTTTTTATGAATGCTCCACATACTTGTGCTGGCCCTCTTCAGTGAGCCTAAGTAATTAAAGACACTCTAGCCATGTTAATAATACCATCAGTTCCTGATCTCACAGATCAGGTTAAGCAGGCCAGTGAGATGTGAAAGGGTTTTGTGAGAACCAGAGGTCTTTCGTGTTGTGGCTAGGAGCTCCACTCAGGGGGAAAACTCCCTGTAGCCTTATTTTTCTAGGTTTAAGCACCTTTCTCCCCTTCTCTCCCACCCCTTTGTTTTTTTCATTAATGCAACAACACTGCTGTCATCCCCCAGCCCTGTAACCCCAATGCTGAGACTCTGTGGTCCCCTCTCAGGTGTCCCCCAGGTGACCAGTTTCTAGAAGGAAGCCTGTCCACTTTTCTGATAGGGCTGGGAAGCATTCTCATCCTGTCTGCCCTCATCAGCCTTTGGATGAGAAACCTGTTGCCGATAACATCTTGCTCCAGCGCTGTTTCAGAACCTGGGCCAAGTCGGGGCTTGTGCATACACTGAGCAGGAAAGGGATCTTGTTGTTACATTTGCCAACCTAAATTCTGTATTATCAATAATATTTTCATGAGTCTAACAAACCAGAAATCAATCTAAACTGAATAAATAAATTAAACTAACTAGTTAAATAAATAAATAAATTAAGGCTGGGAATAACAATCCATTTTTGGAAAAAGATAGAAGTGCCATATGGCTTAAGGAGGGAGAGGTGTAAAGAATGGGTTTTTATTTAAAAATAGGCAACAAAAACTGGTTATGAGTTACATGGATTTGTACATGATGCAGTCATACCCCTGGTTGGAGAATGGTTACTTCTAATAAGTTACTTCCAAAGATCTCACACATTCTTTGAATTCTTTTCTGAGTGAATCTGTGATAAACTGCTATAGCACCCAACAGGAGCTGCAAATGCAGTCATCTAAATGCCCAGCAAATGCAAGGGAAAATCTAGCCAAAGGCAGGATCAGAATTTCCTGGCATCAAAATAAGAGCTTGCATCCCAGCTGTAACTCTGTCAGTGTTTACAAAACCACAGTAATAATTTTGTCTAGTACTATACAACTTGAAATTATCCTTTATTATAGACTTTTAAATGATTCTAGTATAAACTAAGATTAATTTCTGGTTTGTTGGACTCATGAAAATATTACTGATAATACAGAATTTAGGCAGGCAAATATAACAATATTCTAAATGTCTAAAAGTACCTTGCTAAACTTTAGTTAAAATTGTAGTTCTCTTGGATATATGATTCCCAACCATTTTTAGAAACAGATTCAAGAACATTTAGAAATTTAGGTTGTTTTTTTAGAACCCTGAACATTAGTCTCGGGATCATAACAATGGACAAAGTTTCATCTCCTGAAGACACCGACTTAGAAACAGTACCTTGGAGGCAATGGTAACTTAGTTTTGGGAATTGTATAGTGGAGTCAAGGAAGTCCTTGTGATGAAAAAGAGATGGTGATGGAGCAGAGAATGATGAGCAAAGGGCATCTGGAAAACGCAACTATGAAGGGATTTGCCGAGAATAAGCACTCTGGAGGAGGAAACCAGGAAGAAACTAGAGTTTCGGCCTTGAGAATTCTTAAGGAGACCAGGGAGAGAGTGGTCTTACAAGGCCTTCGATGACCCAAACACATCAGCTCTGGGAATCAGTCCTCTTACCCTCCCCTCCGCTCCCTCTAGTGTGCCAGTCTCCTTACTGCTCCCTGAACGTGCAAACATGCCTTACCTTAGGCCTTAGCACTGGCTTCCTCCCTCAGATGTCCATGTGGCTTACTCTCTCACCTCCTTTAAGTCATTGTTTAATTGCTACCTTCTTGATGAAATCTACCTAACCACCCTTTCTACACCAAAACTGTCAAAGTCTTGCACCTGACTCCCTTACTCTGTTCTGCTTTTCTTCTTTTTCTTTTTCTTGCACTAGCACCTTTCTTATAGCACCTACCTTAATATTAAGTAATTTATTAATTTGAATACAGCTAATTAATAATTGCTTATTAACAATTTACACAATTCATTACGTGTGTGGCTTGATGTCTACCTCCATACTCCAGCAAAATATAGCTTTCATGAAGGCATAGATCTTTGCTTTATTAACCTATCCTATATGCCTGCATCAGTGCACAGTATAAAAGAATACTCAATAAGTTTGTTAAAGGAAGGAATGAACAGTGTTGGAGCCGAGAGGGCAAAGGAAATGGTACCAAATGAGGACCACTGGATTTGAAGTCCTTGGTAACCCTCCTGAGAACAGTTGCAGGTCAGTAATTTGGAGGTGGGGGTAGTAGTTAGGGTAAGATAGAGAAAATGGGAGCTTCCAGGGTCATAGTACCTCAACTATAGGTCAAATTAATGTTTGGGCATAATATTTACAACTCCAGAACTAGAAGCAAGTGCATCAAGTGTTAATGACACTGGTACGGGTGGGCATATCCACAGCACACACCTGGCAGGCAACCAGGAGGAACTGTGTGGAGTTGCAAGTTAGAGGGCAGAATGTGACATGCAGTGAACCCAAACAGGGACCTTTGTATTTGATTTTAATGTGAGAAGAGGGTATGAAAATGTCACCCCAGAAATGCTTTCATTAGGTCATGGTGATTTCACTCCCCATCCATCTCAGTTCTTCAGATAGTCAGGAGTTGTTTGAAGACAGTAACATTGTGTTTGACAGGGTCCAGTGCCCTTGGTGTGGCTAGAAACAGTCTTCCAAGTAAATTAACTAACATATGTGGAAGATTAACTAAGGTTAGTGATCAAAGGAATCAGTATGTAGTACATGTTTGTATTTCAAAGGAACTTTTGACATATTGGGGTGGGGAAGAAATGGGGTTCTTTAGGACATAACAGGAAGTTAGATCATCTAGTGATGGATACATAGTTCTTGTGCATAACTTACAAGGTGGAAAGTTAATATTCTACTACAGATTCATCACTCACCTGCAATGTGGTCTTTAAAGAACCAGTGGTAAAATAACCATATTCCCCTACAGTCATGTGCTGTTTTAGAAGCCAGAGTGTTCAAGTACAATCTTTCTTGGGGGGGCAGGGGTACTAGAAATTGAGTTCAAGGCCTTCACACTGAGTTACAAACCAAACTCTTTTTAAATTTTTTTTTTACTTTGAGATAGGCTCTTCCCAAATCACTGAGTTGCCCAGACCAGGCTTGAACTTGTGATCTCCTGCCTCAGCCCCAGAGTGCTGGGATTACAGGCATGGTCCACCAGGCCCAGCTTCATGTACAACCTATTTAAAACAATTCTGTTTTTCCAAAATCCAAATCTACAACTCACATGAATCAAGAGTGATTGATGTTAGATGAAGATAAGAGAAGAAAGGGAAGTGGAGAACTGAGAAAGCAGCTAGAGCTAAACAAAAAGCACAGGAAGAAAGCAGCAGGAGGAAGACACCCCTTGCTGTGGAAAGGCGACAGGCTGGGCTGGCCTGGAGAAAACAGCAGCCCCCAGGGCCCGTGGGAGGAAAGGCATAGGGAGGAAGCCATGCTCGGAAGTGAAGACGGCCAGAGAAGAACAAGCAGCTCCATTATAGAGAGAGCTGGTGGAAAGGCATCGTGGGAGGGCGGGGAATTGGAACTTGAGACAGTGAGCCAAAAATCATGGAGTCAAAGAGGAGAAGGAAAGAGGAAGCCCAAGGGCAGTCACTGGCAACACCAAATCCATAGCAAGAACAAGCTCTAACAACAGGAGAATATGCAAGACCACAGAAAGAGCTAAAGGATAAAGGAGAGAAACAAAATACAAACAAAAGAGAGCGAAAGTCAGAGTGTGCCCTTTGCGTGAGGCATGGAGAAGCTTTCCAGTGTGTGTGGAATTTGTTTGATGATGGGTCACTAATTTATTCTGTTGTAACATTCACCTGCATATGTAACAAAAGTCACCTTGTCAGAGTCAAATGCAAAAAGGTGGGGCCTAAGAGTGGACAGGGTGTTGGATATCTACATGATGTTTGCCTAAAGATTCAGCAGTACTGGACCCTAGAGTACCTGGAAAGTGGACTCTGTAGGGCTCCATTACCTGATGGAAAGTAGAACCTTTTGGGAAAGACTTGCGCCAATTTTTCTATCTGGAATGTAAGGCTTGATCAATGAGCTAGACCACTCTGTCTTGGAGAAGAAACTACCTCTTGAGGTTGATATCAACAGTAGGTAACACAAAGGTCTTCAACAATTTTGAGAGGTGGCCTGCTATGTCTTAGGCCTGGGACAGGGAATATTCATAGCAATAAGCACACAGAAACAATAGTTAACATTTATTTCCATGACATGTACTATTACTGCCTTTGGGTTCCAAAGAGATTCTTTCCAGGTTCTTGATGTCTTGAACAAAAAACTAGAGTAGACACTCAGAACAAGTAGCAATGAATTACATTTATTGAAAGTGGGAAAGATATGCTCTGCAGAGTGGGAGCAGGATTGTGAACAGACTCAGAGTAGTCACAAGGATAATGGTTGGGCTCTTTTGTATATGGAATTCCTAGATTGCTCCTCTCTCATGCAAATGAGGCCTCTGAGGTGGTTGTCAGGTCAGAAACGAAGTTGGCTTGGCATCAAATTTAAGCTGTCCTATCAGAGGTTCACTTAGTTTTGTGTCAGATATAAATGAAGAATCAAAAGTGGTAATTTTAGGGTTGGTCCCATATATTGTACTTAGAGACTGCACAGTTATCCCTCATTCTGTGTTCTGGGCCTGTACCCTGGGCCTTCATGACTGACTGGCTTCTCATAGTGTTCAACCTGTTTGCCCCAGCAAAATCTTCTACCTCAATACTGTTCAGCTCTGTATGCATAGTTGATGTTCATTATTTGTAGATTTTGTTTTTACTTACTTGTTAAAAATCGGTTCGTAAGTCCCAAATCAATAAAACGTAGTAGTAGTCATTCATGGGTAAGTGAAGAGCTGAGGAAAAGTCAAATCCCCTGACAGACATGCTATTCTCAGCTGAGGTGGAAGGAGGACATGTTCTGCCTTCTCGTTGTAGCTCTTATGTTGTAAAGGGGTCCTTTCAGTAATGTAGCCAAGTACTTTGCATTTCTTGCTTTTCTTCTGGTGATTTCACTGTTTAAAAAGCCCTCAAGTATACTGCTGCAATGCTGTCTCATGTTTCCCCGTGCAAGAAGGCTGCGATCTGACCTATAGAGAACAACAGATGCGTCAGAGACACTTCTTTGGCCATGAATTATAGTGTCCCTGGCCGTTAGTTAATTAATGAGTCATTTGTATATATGAAACATGATATTTTAAAGGGAAACACACATAGAACATGGTAATATATTGATTGATTGACAAAAATATGATCAGAGGCTCACTTGTACCTAATCCTGTATTTCTCAAAGGAGAAATAGTTCAGTATTGGCTGTGTGAAACAGAACTACTTCAAATAATGGGAATTGTATACTGTTATATTTAATAGTCACAGTTTTAAAGTTAGATGTGGTGACACACACCTGTAATCCCAGCACTTAGGAGGCTGAGGCAGGAGGATTGATTTACCATGCAGTTCAAGGCCAGCCTGGGTTACACACCAAGATCCTGTCTCAAACAACAACAAATATATATATATATATATATATATATATATATAGTTTTATAAAGTAATTCTAAAAAGGCCTATTTTACAAAAATATGGGCTTAGAGACATTTTAGGCCTAGAGAGGTGAAATACTGTGTTCAAAGTCATGACAATAGCAAGGGACTGGAGCCTACTTCAACTCTGGATCTCTAGCTCATAGTGTTTATGCTGTCCTACCACAAAAGTCGAGGAAGAGGGAACAAACATGAGCTGACCCCACAAGACTTCCAGGAGTTGTTTAATGAAAGTTTAAAGTAAAACTGGAATTTCTGAAACCACAGGTAGAAAAAGAACCAGGAAAATACTACTTGTTATTGTTGCTCTTCTGTTGTTATTATTGTTATCTTACCAGATGTTGTGGCCTTGGGAAATGCCTACAAGGGGTTGTGACCTTGCCTGGAAGAGAATAAAACACTATATAAATATGTGACACACTAAAAAAACACTGAGCTGGGAGCGGGAAATCCTAGAGCTAGGCCTAATTCTGCCAGTAACTTGCTGTCAGACTTTGAGAAAATCCCCTTCGCAACTCCACACCCCAGCTACCTGACCTGTAAGGGACAATGTTGGTAGATAATTACTTTTGCTCTAAATTTTTCTCATATGAAAACTGTATAGCTTCTACCTGGGAGAGTTAAGCCCTATGCTGCCTTGGCATGAGCCTATTTTATAGTCTTCATTTTTTAACCTTGGCATAATTAGTAATAGCATCTTTTATTCTCAAAAATGTCCAGTTTGAACAATATTCTTTGTGGCTACCCTGTGTTTAACCAATATTTGTTCCTTGTCTCTTGGCTGGGTCAGATGCTCAAAACCCTTACCCTAGTCACAGTAGTGGAGACTAGCTAGGGTTGCCTCCTCCAGACACAGTGCTCTGTTGTATCTATTTGTGGAGCTGCTTGGTTTATACCTGCTACCAAGTTCCCAGCCCATATAAGTTGGCTCTTGGCTCATTCCTTGGGCCTTAAATATGAAGTGCCCTATTGCTTAGGCTGAGAAATTCTGTTTTGTCTTTGGTTTTTCAAACTGGAAATTATATAAGCTATACTGTGAAAGAGCAATGTCTTTAGAGAAAAGGTAGTTTGATTTAGTGCTGGTAATTCAAGGACACAGTGTGTCATAATAAAGTCATTTCTGGTCACATCAGATTTGATTCTTTTTCTCTTTAGATTACCTACAATCATAAAATTATTACATCACTGGTGATTGAATATAATAAAACCAACTTTAAAATGTAGAACAAAAAAGGCAAGCTTTAAAAGTAAGACACTAAAACAAGAACTTCTGGCAATTTTGAGCTTTTCTAAATAGACTCCTTCCATCCTCTTGCTATCATTTAAGAAAGTCACATCAATTACAATATGTACAAGAAAAAAATCATCTTCATTGTTAAACACTATATTCTTCATTCACTCATGATCAATAGAAAGAAAATATAAAAGAGAAAACAGTTATACCTTCTTCTCTTAGCAGGTCAAAATTTACTGCATAATTTTATTATACTTTTAATTTGCTTATGAAAGTATATCTGCTCAGATAGTGAAAGACAGACCTTAGTCCAAACCAGAATAAATAACCCTAAACTTTCTGAATGGCATTTAGAAAATTAAACACTTAATTAGTCTAATTCTCTAACCTATGCTTTGATTCAAACTTTCTTATCTCTGTGAGTAAACTTCAACTATTCAATCAGAAAATATAATGCAGGTAGGTTATTGATTGAACAAACATGGCCAAACTGACATTCTAATCCAAATACTGTTTCTGCACACTGTGCATAGATGGGAAATAAACAATTTCTCAGTAGCAATTACTGCTTTTCAGGAAGATTTCTTGGAGGAGAGCTAGTTGCTTAAACAACTGGCTGACATCTGCCTTAGAGTCCTAAAGAGCGATATTGAGATGGAGTATTAGCTAAACGATGGTATTCTTTGGAACTTGCTAACCAGAAACTCAAAAGGAGGCCAATGTCCTTGATGCTTTAGAACAAAGATTTCAAAGTAACCCTGTATCTTTCCACAGTGCCTGCTCTGTGGCCAGGAAATGACCCTTCAAAGACCCAGTGGCTGGCATGGACTTGGCTGGTGTACACCCTAAAGAGGAAGAAAACAAAGGTGATGTTTATCTAGTTCAGCTCAGAGTTTAAATATCATCCCTCTCTGTGTCAAAACAACAACAAAAAAAGAAATTTACTTTTGTAAGCAACAGCAAAAGGCAATTTGTATTAAAAATGTGTTTGTGGGTTTCTTACACTTTCCATAATTATCTTAATTTGAAATGCTAAATGATGTTAGGGCATTTTATATTGTTTCTGAGATATGTAAGGAATAAAAATCTTTTTTATGATGTTGAGCATTTATGCTCATCTGTTTTCTGTTCATTCTTATTTGATTTTAAAAAAGAAAAGAACTAGGAAAGAAAACAAATTCTTCTTTGCCTCATGGCTGGTTCAAGATACTTTACTTTTAAATACTGACCTACAGAAGCAGAATGTGGTTGCCATTTGCTGAGACTGGAACCATGGAATTTGCAGTATATTGGTTTTTTTTTTTTTTTTTTTTTTTTTTTTTTTTTTTTTTTTTTTTTTTGGTTTTTCTCCGGTACCGGGAACCGAACTCACGACCTTGTGCTTGCCAGGCAGGCGCTTTGCCACTGAGCTAAATCCCCAGCCCCTGCAGTATATTGGTTTAACCCACTGGCTCTACTGCCTTCCCTGTCACTGATTGTCCTGCCCAGTCACTTTCGTATCCTTTAAAAGTTTCCCCAATGTGGACCTCATTTGTGGCATCAGGTTATGACTGTGTTTAGTTCTGTCTTTCTCTTATCCAACACTTGGAGAAAAATGGAGAAAGTCATCCATTGAATGAGTTTAGTGAGTTGAGAAAGGTTATTTTTCTGGCTGGAAGAAGATTATCAAGGGTTAGAAGTCCTGGAGGAAAGAAACATATTTTAACCAGATTTTCCTTTTCTTCCCCTGTTGTCTGACCTTAAAAGGGAAGGTTACAGAGCAAGGAAAAAATGTCTGCAACTTCCCAAGAAATGGATAAACAGCAATCCTTCAGGAAATGATGAGATATTCCTGAGACTGAGCAGATGACACTGTGAAACTTTCAATAGTTTCCCATTAAGAAAGACAGAAGAGGAAGCAGAGGAGGAACTTTCATGACTATCTGGAGATACCATGGAGAGGAAGACCTGCACCTCGCCTGTAATCTGAAAGTGCAGGTGACAAAACCTGCTCTGGGAGGGGAACAAAGTCTGACTTGGTCTTCCTGGAATGAGTGAAGTGTGATTATCCTTGAAATGTGATACAAAGATTACCTTATAGTTGAGCATATTTCTTCAAAATTTGTTTCATATTATTCCTTATACATGTGAAATAATTTAATATAAAAATGAAATTGCTTTGGATAAACTTTTTATTTTAAAAAGTGTAATTAACTTTTCCTGCTTCTAGTTTTCATAATTAATTACTTATAGCACATTATGGCACTTGCTGATACACATTATAATTTCAAAATTAGTGCAGTTAATAACCTGCCCAAGGCTGGCCTTGACAATCTATTAAGTGATGACAACTATTAAACCATAGGAATAATAAACAACCACTCCCATTCAGATCATTCCCCCCCAAAATGTAGCTTCTGGAGCAAGAAGCATGTGGATTCAGATCTCAGCTGCAGGGTAAGTGGCTGTGTTGTTTGCCACCTCTGTGAACTTACTTTTCCCATCTGTATCAACTATAATTCCTAATAAGTTACAGTGTTATAGGAACTAGATATGATATATACAAATACTAACAGTACCATATAGAGTCTTAGGATCTCAGGAAATATTAATTACTCTTATCACAGGTTATCATGGAACCATTCACATTTTTAGAAATATAAATACTAGACATATTGGGTAGCTCAAACCTAGTGGCTTTAAAGTTCCATTGATGATCTAAAGTCATAATATAGCATCCTTAAAAATAGTTTTCAGAAATATTTGGAATGACAAATTTCTGCTTAAACTAGAAATACTTTTGGTCACACATGGTGTGACCAGCTGTTCAGGTTTGCCTCAGACTGAGGAATTTCCTGGGATGTAGGACACCTGAACACATAAGAGCTTCCTCAGTCTGAAGATGGGAAAGTCTCACGGAAATCAGGATCCATTAGTCTCCCTAGCCTCACCTCACAGGTATTTTGGCCAAATCCCACCTGGGATTTCCAAGGTGAAGGTCCTCGGATTAGCAGGATCAGTTTTACCTGGAAACTTATTACAAATGCACTTTCTTGGGTCCCAGCCCAGCCCTACTGAGCCACACATTCTGGGGGCTGGGCCTCACAGTCTGTGTCTTAATAAATTCTCCAGGTGCTTTCAAGGCATGTGGCTTGCTAATGTTTGAGAAACACTGTTCTAGGATATGTTACTTATATCAGGCTAAGATATTTTACATAGGAGAATAGAAAAAAGTGGTGTATTGTGCTGTTTCGGTTTCTTTAAGGTACACTAGTCAGTAATTTCACAGTTTGGTAGTCCTTGTGGTTAAAACCCCCCAAGTTCTCTATCAGCTCAGCACTGAGCAATAACTGTGAAGAATGAATAGTAAGAAAAAGGCCAAAATACTATAGCCAACTTGACAGTTCGGCACTTTAGTTGGAATTATGCAACTAAAATGTAGCTGATAGTTCAAAAGCTCCCCTTCCTTTGTCAGATATCACACAGTCAGTATCCGGGACTCCGACTAGGCAGGAAGTATATGGGCAGGACCAGATGATAGCTCTGGGAGGAAACACCCTGGAGCTTCTCGAGTTAATGGCCTTTTAGTCCCTCCAACAACCACACAAATCTATTCCTCAGGGAGGCTCTAGGTTACTTTAAAAAGTAAACCAGGAGAATTTGTTTAGTACCTGATTCTTTTGTAAGACTTTGAATATTTTAAATTCTAGGACTGGATTGTACAACTCATTTTATTCCGTATATTGAAATATCTTTCACACAAGCCTTTCAGCACCTCATAGGCTTTTATCAGTGAAGGCCTGCCTTTTTGTGAGGGAGCATTAAATTCTAGTTCCCACCACTACTTCCAGTGGGAGTTGTGTAAATTGTAGTCAGTAGCCAATGCATTACAACATGATTGTTTGTCATCAGTTGCCTTGATTTTTGGATAAAAATATGACGTAAGCACATATCGTTATTAGATCCTCCACAAATTCAAGTTTTTTTCCAACATTAGGGCTCATTGTGTGAGCTTCTTTCTAGGAAGAATGATCTCACTTTGACAAGGGAAAAATTAGTTGTTTTTTTAAATTTTATTTTAAAGAGAATACAAATTTAGAAATTTTAAAAAACATTAAAAACAATACAAAATTTCAAAACAAGATGATAGGAAATCAACAGTTGTTCTTATATTACATGTAGTTATCTTCAAAGTAATTGTTCAGATTACCAGATATAAGCATGCAAAATAGGTCAAAAATCTTTTTCCCTTCCTTCTTTCTTTTCTCCTTTCCGTCATCCCATTTGTTCCCTCCCTTTGAGCAGTTTGTTTCTCTTTCACAATATCTGTTGTAGTTTTTGGATTTTTTTTAGTTCAGTTTCTTACACTAGGGAGACAATAAGATGTTTACACATGTGGGTCTGATTTATTTCACTTATGAGTATGGTCTCTAGTTGCACACATTTACCTATAAAAGCATCAAGATAATTTTTCTTTATAGCTGAGTAATACTCCATTGTACAAAAATACCACATCTTTTTTATCCATTCCTCAGTTGAGGGGCATTTGGGTTGTTTCCAAGAGATCTAGCTATGACAAATTGTGCTGCTATAAACATAGGTGCACATATATATCACTGTGGTATGATGCTTTCAGTTCTAGAAAACTACACAGAAGGGGAATAGCTGGGTCAAATGGGACCTTTAATCCTACTTTCTTAGGGCATCTCCACATGGATTTTCATAGTAGTTGTACCAGAGTATACTCCCACCAAGAGTGGAGAAGGGTTCTTTTCTCCCCACAACCCCTCCAGCATTTGTTAATGGTTGATTTCTTAATGATAGCCATTTTTTCTGGGGTGAGATGGAATCTCAATGTTCTTTTAATATACATCTCTCCAATGACCAATGATGTTGAACATTTTTTCCTACATTTATTTGCTATTTGTATTTCTTCATCTAAGAAGTATGTATTCATCTCAGATGCCCATTTTTGGATTGAGTCTTTGAATTTTGGGGGCCTGATTTTTTAAATTCTTTAGATATTTTAGATAGAAGTCCTTTGTCTGGTGGAGGCAATTTGGTTTTTGTTCATGAATTCTGTGCCTATCCCTATGTCTTCAAGATTTCTAAATACTTTCTCCTCCAGTAGATTTAGTGCTTCTGTTTTAATATTTAGATCTCTGATCCATTTTGACTTTAGAGTAGTGCATGGTGATAGACACGAGTGTAGTTTAATCTTTTTTGTTTTTGTTTTTATCTTTTTTGAGACGGGTTTCACTATACAGTTCAGGCTGAACTTGAGCTCACTTTGTAGCCCATGCTGGCCTCAAACTCATAACAATCCTCTTGCCTCAGCCTTCCAACTGCTGGGATAACAGGCATGTTCTTCCATGCCTGGCACAAAGCCTAGTTTAATCTTTGGCATGTGGAGAGCCAGCACCATTTATTAAAGAGGTTGTGTTTCTTCCAGGGAACATTTTTGGCCACTTTGTCAATGATAAAGTGGCTGAGTGTGTTTATGGCTGTGTCTGCATCTTCTAATCTATTCCAGTGACCCTCAGGTCTGGTTTTTTCTTTTGCCAGTATCATGCTGTTTTTATCATAATAGCTTTGTAGTGTAATTTTAAATCAAGGATTGTGATGCTTCCTGCCCTGCCTTTGTTACCCAGGATTGCTTTTGCTATTCTAGGTCTCTTCTGGTTCCAGATGAATTTTAGGAATGCTTTCTCTAGATCTATGAGATATACTAATGATATTTTGATCAGGATTGCATTGAATCCGTATAACAGTTTTGAGAGTATGGCCATTTTCATAATGTTGCTTCTTCCTATCTGTGGGCAAGGAATATCTTTCCATTTTCTGAAATCCTCTTCAATCTCTTTTTTCAGAGTACTGTAATTTTCACTGTGTACATCTTTTACTTCCTTTGTTTGTTGATTCCTACATATTTCCTTTGGGGGAGATGTTATTGTGAAGGGTGTGGTTTCCCTAATTTCTCTCTCAGAAAATTAGTTTAATTAGTTTTCTAAGGTAACACCTTCCTTCTTTATCACACCAAAAATGTTCTAGAGAACAAGTCCTTTACTTGCTAAATGTGAGAAAAACAAATGCCAAAGTTACTACAAGGGAGCGCTGGCTTTTGTCATAGTTGAAAGCATGTATCTTTTCTGTTATATGGTTAAGATATTTAATGTGCTATTGGAATGTTTTTATACTACTGATAACTTGAGTAATCCTAACTCTAAAAGAAATATGACCTCAACAGTTTTACACTATTTAGATAGTGCATTTGTTTGTGTCTGTCTCTGACAGGCTAAGAAGGCAACATTCAGTGGAATTACAATAGTATTACTTTCTTTAGCAAGTGTATTCAACAGTGACTAAGTAGATGGTGGGTAACCTTCCTACAGTGTCATAGTATTTTCTGTTATAGATGTTAAGGTTTCTTGATAATAGAATAATGTAAACTACACTACCTCTTGAAAATATCCACAGCTTTTTACTCTTTAAAAATATTAATAATAAAACCTTTACTTTTTAAAAAAATTCCCCAGCCCAACTGGTAGCCCAAAATTTATGGTGGACATAACCCCTTAGCCATCATAGGAAGAGTGGGTTCTGTTAAGCAATGTTCTGTTACTATAAAAAAAATACCAGAAATACAGCTACTTTAAAAGAGAAAAGGTTTTATTTGGCCTACAGTTTTGGAGGCTTCAGTTCAAAACCACTTGGCTTCATTGCCATGGGCCTTTGGCAGCGTAACCCATCATGGTAACAGCGTGTGACTGTGTAAACCATTAGCCTCCTGGTTGGGAAATGAGAGAGGATGACACTGACTGTCACAATCCCCACTCAGGGCACACCCTCAGTGACTGATAGAACTTCCTTCCACTAGGTCTCACCTCTCAGAGGCTCCACCACGTCTCAACAGCATCATTAGCTTTTAACACATAGGCCTATGGGAATCACTTGTTCAAACCACAGCATGATTTAGTACTGAGTTAGCAAAAGATGATAAAACTGAGTGTGACTATAAAGGGGAAAATAATGGGATTTGATGTCCATAACTTCTTCCTATTGTTCTACCTTTTCTCATCTCTAAGCAAATGGGTGAGAAGGAAGGGGCACATGTTTGTAGCTCTTCCTGAAGATTAGCACTCAGTTTGAGAAACACAGAGGACTTCTTAGCAGTTGGGTGAGGACAGCCTGAAGGCACAGAGGA